ATCTCCAGCTAAGACTGAGACGGGAGGCAGTGGCTCGTCCCCACCAGACGGAGAGGGCGGCCGAGTCCCTCTTCAAGGAGCACCGGGGTCCTCTGCGGGGCAGGAGCCTGCAGCCCGGGCAGGACAGCAGACCCCGGGGAGCAGCCCTGGTGGTCCGTCCAATCCGAAACGGACTGTCCCGGGTGGGGGTCGGGCTCAGAACTGGCTGGACTTTGGGTCTGTCTTGAACGGGGTCCCTGCGGAGGTCCTCGCTGACTTGCGTGTAAGGTGTCAGGCCAAGAGCTTGGTGAAAGACGACTTCCAAGGTTTGTCCCGGCGACTGCAGGACAGAGCTGACGTTCCGGGAGGCTGGAAAGACTAAGGGACCAGGCGTGGGACGCGGGGCACGAGCAGCGCCTGGGGCTTTCCTGGGTGAGGGGGCCTGAGCGCCCCCATCCATGTGGGGTGCTCTCCAAGGACAGCCAGGCTCAGGGCCTGGGGGGGGGCTGACTGATGACTCCTGAAGGGGGGAGGGAGGTGCTGACGGAGGGGAGAGGCATGGGGGCCGCCTCCTGGGCAGACGAGAGGAGAACCGGCAAAAGGGATGGTGACAGAGTGATCGCTGCGGCAACAAAGGGCAAGAGCAGCTGGGGGTGCGGAGCCCGAAGAAGGCGTCCGAGGAGCAGAGGACCAGGCGCTGGACGGAAAGCCCCCAGCCTCGCACGCGGGAGTGACGTCACTGAGCGAGGGTCGGTGTCGCCGTGACATCCGTCCCCATTATGAAGGACAATCTGACAATGCAAACGTCTCCAAGGAACCAATGTGCATACGTATTTCTCCTCCAATTACTCAGGCGCACCTACAACGCTTGGTTCACAACGTGGGCCTGTTATCGAGCTAGAATCGCTGACCAAGGAAACTCTAATTTCATACTGTTGAGTAAATGTCGTTTTTGCTTTGCCTCAGGGGTCCTGCTCGAAGTATCTATTACGTCCCATTATTTTTAATTTTATTTTGAAGTCACGGAACATCGCGAGTGCGTCAACCTCTAACCGCCTGGTTCCGGAACGGCGGCAGCGCCACCTCGTCGATGCAGAAAGTCCTCCTCTAAGTCCCGCACCATAAAGACACGCGAATGAGGTTTCCTGGCTCTATTGGAGACACCGTGGTCACGGCCCTCGGTGCAGTAACTGCAAAGGGCACCTCTGGGCAGCTTCTTGACAACGGCAGGGCATCTGGCCGAGGGACAGCCGTCCCCAGGGGAGCTGACCCCTCCTCGCTGAGCCTCGCATCTCCCCTCAGAGGGCCCCCCGGGGAACCCAGCGGGCGGGAGCGGACAGAGCCCACGCGGGTCACCGCTGGGGTCACGGGGAAGGCTAAGGGGCCGCAGCGAGCAGACCTAAATCAGCAGAGGGGACGAAGGTGCAGACAGAAACCTTCACACAGGTCGCTGCACTGTCTGCAGCCCCCAAAGCGATGAGGACTGACACAGGCCAGTCTCAGACCTCGGGCAGTCGAGACAGAAATGCGGATTCCCGAGGTGCCGCCCAGGCCAAGTGCCCCTCAATTTAGCCAAGCGAAGCTGTTCTGTTTGGGTGGCACAGGCAACCTTGCAGAACCCCGCGCAGCTGAAGACGCTCGAGCCCGCGCTGCGGTCCCCCCAGGAGTGACACCTGCCAGGGGCGCCTCAGACCAGGGCCTCCTGGCCCAGGTGGGAAGCAGGGCGGAGCCACGTCACGTTCTGTGGAAAAGCCACAGAAATGGACAGCGCTCAACCACTGTATCCACAGAGATGACAGGTTCACGTGGTTCCATCCGAACACTTGAGACAAACGAGTTAACAGTCAAGCAAGTCTCCACTCTGTAGAAAACGCGATAGGAGTGTCCATGCCCATCCCTTTCTGGATGTCGTACCACTGACCCTCTCAGGAGGATGGACATGTGCTCTCGGATAACCGACAAGGGGCCTCTTTTTTTTAATCCTCACCCGAGGACATTTTTCCATCTTTTGTTCAGATAGAGCAGGAGGGAGAGAGAGGAAGAGAGAGAGAGAGAGAAACATCGATGTGAAGGGACACATCGAGTGGCCGCCACCCACACGACCCAACCAGGGCTCGGGACAAACTGCAACCAAGGTACGTGCCCTTAGTGGGAACCGAACCCGGGTCTCTCTGGACCGCAGGTCAATACTCTAACCGCTGAGCCAAACCAGCCAGGGCAAGAAGATGTGTTTTTAAGAGAGAGAATCCTCACAGAATACGGGAAACTAAGTGGTTGCGGGTTCCACCAGATTGTTTTTAAAGGAGCGTCTGAAGAGGCCAGGGACAGAACCTCAGAGGCGCTCACCCGGGGGGCCGGACACCTGTGCACACAGATGCTTAAATGGCTTTTTTACGATTGTAACACTTGGAAGCAACCGAGGTTTGGCAACGACTGTCCTTCAGTCACTGAGTGGCTGCACAAGCTGTGGCCCATCCGGTTCATCTGTCCACTCAGCTACGGAAGGACGGTGATGGGATGCTACTCAGCTCGCAAGGAATGAGCTACGAAGCCAGGGGGAGTCGTGAGGAACCTGAAAGGTATGTGGCTAAGTGACAGAGCCAACTCGGTGATGTCCTGGAGGAGAGAGAGCCAGGGGACGGGGACGGGTCTGTGGCTGCTGTGGGGTTGGGGGCATGAGCAGGGGAGCCCAGAGGGTTCCGGGCAGGGGACCCGCTCTGTGTGGTGCTGTGATGGACACGTCATCACACATCCGTCCAAGCCCACAGGACGCACAGCACTGAGTGACCTCGCTGCCGCCTATGGACCTGGGTGACGATGATGACGTGTCTGTGCAGGGTCGTCAGCTGTGACAAATGTCCAGCTGGTGGGGTGCTGATGGGGGAGGCTGTGCATGGCAGGTGGGGGGCAGAAGATGTGGGAACACTTTCACCCTTGCTGTTAGTTTTGCTTTGAAGCATAAAATACTCTGAGAAGTGTATTTAAAAACGGCCAGGAGATGCCCGGCCAGTGTGGTTCAGTGGTTGAGCATCGTCACCTGTGCACCAAGAAGTCACCAGTTTGATTTCCCTGCAGGGCACATGTCCAGGTTGCAGGCTTGGTCCCCAGGGCGCGGTGTGAGGGAGGCAGCCAGTTGGTGTTGATGGTCCTCTCTCATGGATGTCTCTCTCTCTCCCTCTCCCTCCTTCTCTCTCTAAAATCAATGAAAACATTGTTTAAACGGCCAGGAGAGTACAGAACAGGAGGAGAGAAGAATGAACGTTGCACAACATCAGCAATGCTTTTGTTGTAGCCAATAGAGCCAATACGACACCATCCACTGTCTGCTCTCCCTGGATTTCTAAAGAAGAGGACACGGCTACTTCACATGAAAAACAACGCTGATGTGATCTTAGAAAAAGATGTTTGGCCCTGGCTGGTTTGGCTCAGCAGTTAGAGCGTCAGCCCGTGCACCAAAGAGTCACGGGTTCGATTCCGGTCAAGGGCACGTAACCCAGGTGCGGTTCATCCCCAGCCCTGGTTGGGGTCATGCAGGAGGCAACCAATCGATGTGTCCCTCTCACATCAATGTTTCTCTCTCTCTCCCACTCTGAAAATAAATGGAAAAATATCCTTGAGTGAGGATTTAAAAAAGAATGAAGGACTTTTTCCCCAAAGGAGCAAACCTTCCCTGCTGTTTTCACCGTAGACCGGAGAGAGCCCCCCACAGCCCGCACAGGCTGCCCCGCACACAGGACACCAAAGGTAGAGACACAGTCTGTCCTCAATTTTACCAGCAACATCTGAAGCATGAAATTGACCTACGTTCATCTCCTCATGCAAACCCTCACCCTGCCCAGGAACATCAGGGGTGAGCTGAGCGGGGGTGTGTTCACCTGCGGGTTTCACTTGTTTCAGGACCACACTGAGCCCGCGCTGCCGAATGAGATGCCACCTGCACAGGGCAGCTTGGCACGAGCTCAGGGGAGCCTGGACGTGCTCAGGGGAGCCTGCACGTGCTCAGGGGAGCCTGCACGAGCTCAGGGGAGCCTGCACGAGCTCAGGGGAGCCTGCACGAGCTCGGGGGAGCCTGCACGTGCTCAGGGGAGCCTGCACGTGCTCAGGGGCAGCCTGCACGTGCTCAGGGGAGCCTGGATGCACAGGGGCAGCCTGCACGAGCTCAGGGGAGCCTGCACGTGCTCACGGGAGCCTGCACGTGCTCACGGGAGCCTGCACGAGCTCAGGGGAGCCTGCACGAGCTCAGGGGAGCCTGGATGCACAGGGGCAGCCTGCACGTGCTCAGGGGAGCCTGCACGTGCTCACGGGGAGCCTGCACGAGCTCAGGGGAGCCTGCACGTGCTCAGGGGCAGCCTGGATGAGCTCAGGGGCAGCCTGCACGTGCTCAGGGGAGCCTGCACGTGCTCAGGGGAGTCTGCACGAGCTCAGGGGAGCCTGCACGAGCTCAGGGGAGCCTGCACGAGCTCAGGGGAGCCTGCACGAGCTCAGGGGCAGCCTGCACGAGCTCAGGGGAGCCTGCACGAGCTCGGGGGAGCCTGCACGAGCTCAGGGGAGCCTGGATGCACAGGGGCAGCCTGCACGTGTCAGGGGAGCCTGCACGTGCTCACGGGGAGCCTGCACGAGCTCAGGGGAGCCTGCACGAGCTCAGGGGAGCCTGCACGTGTTCAGAGGGAGCCTGCACGAGCTCAGGAGAGCCATCTCTCCTCCTCCCTTCTGAGGCCCCCACAGTGGAGGTGCAGAGTGTTTGGGAACAGCCAGGGCCCGTGCAGGCCAAGGGGTCTGTTCAGGGGGCCCAACCTCAGCATGAGGAGGGAGCACCTGGCTCTCCTGGGTGGGGCGGGGGGCAGCAGGTCCACCTGCACAGTCCCCGGGAGCCGGCCTGGGAGCCAGGTCAGGGAGCCCTAAGGTCACCTGATGTCCAGGGTTAAGTAAGCCTTTAAAGTTGTTTACGTGTATGTATATATGTAGCTACAGCCACGGCCCGCGGCCGCCCTGTCTCATCAAAGCGCTCTGTGCGCACTCACTGGAGAACTGCACGGAGAAGCCGGACTTGCTGATGAAGAAGTCGCTGTCGAACTGCAGGGTGAGCGAGTTGAAGGTGCTGTGGATGTCCTCGGGCAGCGCCGAGCCGCTCCACTGCTTCAGCAGGATGGCGCTGTCCACCGGCCCGTCCCACACCTTCAGCACGTCGTGGTTCGTCTCGGTGTCGAACACCACGAAGTGCAGGCTGGGGAGAGAGCACAGCTCCGCGTCACTCGGATGCCAGCCCCCATCCCGGGTCCCGGGTCCCACAGCTGAGCTCCAGTGACACCCACAAGCCCTTCTCATGGGTTTAGAACCCCACAGAATGCGCCTTTCTATCACCTGGCCATGCATGCACCTGTGCCGTGGGCTCTGCCACGTATGCAGAGGCCACCGAGCAACAAGCTGGGCTCTGTCTTAGGACGAAGCGACCCCTCCGAGCTGTCAGCCCTGTCACTCCAGGCTTCCCCAGGCACCAGAGCAAGTTTGACAGGAGCTTTGACTTAAAGGAACCCCGGGGGGTTAAACGTGGCGTCGGTGTTATTCCTGCGATGGCCACGGGGCGGCAGCGTCCACGTCAGGAGACAAGGGAGGGGAGAGTTCACACCAGGAGGCTGTCTGCCTGCCCCCAGGGATCTGACCTGCGGCTGCATTCGTTCCCATACGTTTTGCTTTCAGAAAATTGCGCTATTTGAAACAGGAACACAAAGGCAGGCGTGTGTACTATAAACTGCCTCCTTATAACATATAAAATACATCCAACAGAAGCAGAGGTGTGTACGTCAACTCCTTCCTTTATAACACGTAAAGCACTTTTATTAGATCTGCAGGTATTTTCCAGAATGTTCCCACCGCTCTGTCCGGGGAAATTCAGGGCCAGAGGAGGCAGCAGAACCAGGCGTAGCCACGGCCGTCCAAACCGGCCGGAGGGAGCTGAGCACCTACAGAGATCGGTCTTTCCTGAGTGTGTTGATTTAAGTTTTTTAAAATGTTATTTTCTGCTCCATGCACAGAATTGGAAGGGAGATTTAAAAAAAATCAGAATGGATGAAATACGAACAACCTAACACAAGTCGTAATTATCTGTGTCATGTGGGTTAAATGCCCCAAACTATCCATCTTCCCCTTCATAGAGTATAAAACACAGTCTGCTTTAAAATGTCCCATGTGGCCCTGGTCGGTTTGGCTCAGTGGTTAGAGCGTCGGCCTGTGGTCCGGAGAGACCCGGGTTCAGTTCCCGCTAAGGGCATGTACCTCGGTTGCAGTTTGTCCCCGGCCCTGGTTGGTCGTGTGGGTGGCAGCCACTTGATGTGTTCCTTTCACGTCGAAGTTTCTCTCTCTCTCTCTGTTCCTCTCTCTCCCTCCCACTCTACCCGAACAAAAAATGGAAAAATGTCCTCGGGTGAGGATAAAAAAAATATTAATAATAAAATAAAATAAAATAAAATGTCCCATGTAAACTATTTCTACTGTAGAGAAAAGAACAGAATGCTCCGGCACGGTGCCCCCACCACCCCCATGTCAACACCCGGGACCCCGGCCTCCCAGGCTCCGAAACCAAGATGAACCAATGTACGTTTTCACACTGTTTACACGCGTGTGTGCACGGTCACCCCCAACAACGCACGGGCTCCCAGCGTCTTTAACAATAACCACGTCGCAGGTGGAATGTGGCTTGTGTTCTTGTCAAGTTGCTTCCTATACTCAGCACCAAGCGAAACTCCTCTGCCCTGGAAACTGTCACCGTCAGGAAGTCGCGGCCAGAAGATGAAATGAGCACTGTTCACGCTGTCACCGGAAGCACGCTGGAGCGAGGAGCCCTCCCAGGGGCGCAGGCCCAGCTCGGGAAGCTGCCCGCACACTGAGACCCGCTGGACACAGCCGCGGTGAGTGGGACGTGCGCCCCGTCAGGGACCCAGGCAGTCAGCACGGTCGCGACGTCCGCGTTCCTGAAACTCGTCTGCGATGGAACGCGGTTCCGGCAGAAATCCTAGCGATTTCCTTGGCAGGAAGTGTAACTTGTGAAGCGCGTCTAAGATGCGAAGGACCGTGACATGGTCCCATGGGGAGGACGAAGGGGGGCAGGGCAGTGAGAGACCTCAAGGCTTCGTCAAAAGTCGCTGAGGAATGACTACAGAGAGAGTCTGTGCTGGACAAACAGGGGCACTCAACAAAGCTCAGCACAGACCGGAGACTGTGGAATTGTCTCCTACGAAGGCGGCGCGGCCAGGGACTGAGGGCCTGCTTCTCAACAAACGGACAGCGGAGTTCTGCTCGGGACCAAGGACTCCTGAGTCCTCACACCACACACAGGAGTCAGCTCCAGATGGGGTGGGTCCACCCACGGGGGAGGTGAAAGACCTTCCGTACCAGCCAAGGAAGCCCTGGCTGTGGCTCAGTGGGTGGGCCATCGTCCCGGAACCGGGAGGCGGGGAGTTCTGTCCGCCGGGCTCACACCCAGATGTCTGGATGGATCGCCGGCGGGGGGCGTGCAGGGGCAGCCGATCCCCGTTTCTCTCTCTCTCTCTCTCTCTCCCTCCCTTCCTCTCTCTAAAATGAACAAAAGCATGTTCAAAAGTGAAGATTAAAAAGTAGAAACATAAATAAAATGTCATATACGTGCGTTTGCATGGAGAAAAAATATATCAAGATGTTTGACGAGTTACCTTCGGTGTCTGGGACTCCAGCAAAAAGGGGGGGAGGGGCAAAGACACCTTTCAATTCTAGGCCAATGAGCAGAACTTAACCTGCACATCATTTTCAAGGTTGGTGCGTGAAAAGATCTGGCTTGTTTCATAGAACGATTTATATTAAGACACATACAAATGTTTTAACCCTTTGAGCCAGCAAACATTTTCCTAGGAATTCACTGTAAGGTATTAATTATGAATATAAGCAGATTTGCTTATCATACTGTCTATCAAGCGGTTAGGTACGATGCCAAGCGTTAGAGAGAACCGACGAGAGAGGCGACGCACGGTCACCCACTCACACAGCGGAATGCAGGGAGGCCACACGTCAACACGCGAACAATGACACCTTGTTGGCAGCTAATGGGAACTTTTCTGAAAATACCTTTGTAAAAATGTCTGTATGTGCGTGTATTACATAGCCGTGAGCAGTTAATATGTTCAGTGAAGGAACTTAAGCCTGCCCTTCCAAGTGGGAGCGGTGGAGAGAGCCCCCTGCAGGACAGCCGGTGGCAGAGCAGGGAGTCCTGAGGTGTGGCCGCGGCGTGGCAGTGGGCACGGGCAGCGGGCAGTGGGCACGGGCAGCGGGCAGTGGAGTCTGAGGCTCTAAGGCAGGAGGTGGAGAGAAGTGAGGTACCGTGAGTGGGGGCCCGCAGCCTGGCATGGGAGAGGGTGCCTGGCTCTCCCGGCGTCCGGCTGACACCACACAGTCTGCTGCTCGGAAGGAGGGCGCTGTGGGCCAGGCGCTGAGCCGGGGAAGGGAACAGGCGCTTCTTGGACGGGACGAAGCATGACACTTCTGGGGCGGGTGGGATGGACACTCTGAGACCTGGAAGACGGGGAGGGTCTGCAGGCGAGGCAGTGGGGAGACGGGGGGCACGGGTGGGCTCTGAGACCCCGAGAGCATCCTCTGAGCTGCCTCAGGGAGCAGGGCACGCGCTGGGGTGCAGGTGCGGGGCAGAGAGCCAGCCCGCAGGTGGGCCGTCGGGGGAGGGGCACAGGCTCCTGCCCAGCAGGGCACCCTAGAGGCTGAGGCAGGGAAAGGCCCTTCGGGGAAGGTTGGAATTCCAGGGGAGTGGGGGGCGCGGGGCGCGGGAGCACAGAAGCAGCCGGGGGAGAGAAAGGGGCGCACCGGCTCGGCGCCCCCGTACAGTGTTTCTCTGCCGAGGATGGAGACTGGAGCACCCCGGGGCACCCCAGGATGTCCGGGGCTTCAATCGGGGAAACAGTGGAGGTTGGGGAAGGAGAACAAGGAGGAAAACTGACACTGGAACTAAAAGCACGTCAGGACGACGGGTGTTGTCCGGGACGGAGGGAGCGGACGCGGGACAGGGAAGGTGACAACGAGGAGACTGAGGCGTTCGGGGGGTGTCCAGCGTCCCCAGAACAGCGGTGACCCCAGCGTCCCTGTCCGCTGTCTCTCCTATTGATTCTATTTCATTTCTCCTGCACCTTTGTGGCGAATTCCCTTCCTGATTGTCCATTTCTATAGCATGTCAGCTGCGTTCAGCCCTGGGGGGCCAGGAGGAGGGACAAGGTCGTCCAGGGTGCGAGGTGAGCACCGTGACTGAAGGACAAGGTCAGGGGGCCCGAGGTGAGCGCCGTGACCGGAGGACAAGGTCAGGGGGCCCGAGGTGAGCGCCGTGACCGGAGGACAAGGTCAGGGGGCCCGAGGTGAGCGCCGTGACCGGAGGACAAGGTCAGGGGGCCCGAGGTGAGCGCCGTGGCCGGAGGACAAGGTCAGAGGGCCCGAGGTGAGCGCCGTGACCTGAGGGACAAGGTCAGGGGGCCCGAGGTGAGCGCCGTGGCCGGAGCTGTGGGAACAGAAACCCCAGGGAAGTGGCCCCTCAGGCGGTTCTCACTGACCCTCGGCGGTGAGCTGACATCACTGGTGCTGCTGGGCTGTGTCAGCCTAGCCGTCCCGGGGTCTCCCACTCACTGCACTGGGTGCCTAGCTGGGGACACAGCCCAGTGCTGGCTCCCGGGCCCCCAGGGGCTGGAGTCCAGCCATGGCTGGGGAGACGGCCTGGGCTGCTGCTCCGTGTTGACGGCTGGCCTTCCCTCCACGGTGCTTCCCTCGTACTGTCCACAAGCAGACAGGACGGAGGCAGGCCCAGCCGAGCGGGAAAGAGCTGGTTGGTTGACAGAAAGCCGCTCTTTCCCGAGGGAACAGCCAGAGCCTGAGACAGGCGCTCCGTAGCATGTCCCCCTGTCCTGAGTGAATTCTGTCTCCCTAGCCCCGGGGTGCCCCTGGCCGCCGAGCAGGCCGGAGACGGAGCTGGGCTGAGCTTTGGCGTGGACTGGACGGGACCGGACGACGGAACCTGCAGTTCCCAGCTGGGGCCAGGCCGGCGGCAGGGGATTTCTGGACCCCGGACCTCCTTCTGGGCGGGGGCAGGACAGGCTGGGTTCTCACACAGTGGGCGGGGCTCGGCCACCTGGCGCTGGCGAGAAAGCTGGCACGTGGGGACGGTCCTTGACGTCTGCTCCATTAAATCTGACCACTACACCTCACCCTCCTGGCGTGGGTCCCCGAAAGGCTCTCCTGGGACTCTGTGGAGGAGCCCGGTCTCGGCCGGAGCACCAGGAACAGAAGTGCTTTCGAATCAGTTTTCCGGACAATCACCCTCGCAGAGAGGGTGTTAAAACCCAGGGACGATGTGCTCATGATCAGGGGAGACACCGCCACCACTTCACGCTGTGAGTCGCGGGTGCTCAGCAGCGAGGGCGGCCGGAGACGTGTTGGCCGCGTGACTTACTGTGGCTCCATTCACTGCGTTAGACTTTTAATTAGATTCCACTCCGGCAACGGCTTCACAGCCCAGATGTTAACGTTACAAACCTCGGCCAGGCCCAAGGGCCTCATTACTACTCTCTCTCTTTTTTTTTTTATCCTCACCCGAGGATATTTTTCCGTTTTTTGTTCAGATAGAGTGGGAGGCAGAGAGCGGAAGAGAGAGAGAGAGAGAGAAACATCGACGTGAAGGGACACATCGAGTGGTTGCCACCCGCACGACCAACCAGGGCCGGGGACAAACTGCAACCGAGGTACACGCCCTTAGCGGGAACCGAACCCGGGTCTCTCAGGACCGCAGGCCGACGCTCTAACCGCTGAGCCAAACCGGCCAGGGCTACAACTCTTTCGGGGTCCTCTACTACCTTGAATAAAACATTGTTGCAACACGAATCAGGAATTGCTCAGGCGACCATGAAATCCATGTCACCAGCGGAACCCGGCCTCGCAGCATTCGGGGACCCTGCTGCTCAGTCATTTTTCAGAGTGAAACCCATTACAGTCAAGAAAAGAAATCAGAGCCCGGCCAGTGTGGCTCAGTGAACTGAGCGTCGTCCATGGACTGAGAGGTCCGGGTTCGATTCCCAGTCAGGGCACATGCCCGGGTTGTGGGCTCAATGCCCAGTAAGGGGCGTGCAGGAGGCGGCCCATCGATGTTTCTCTCTCTCCCTCCCTTCCTCTCTCTCTAAAAAATCAATAAAGAATAAAGACATATTTATAAAAAATAAATAAAATACATCGTGGTATGGATACATGATGAAAAATTTTGTTTATACTAAGAATTATTTAATGCTTGAATCCCGGGACTCGTGATCATACAGGTGACATAGTTCTCAGTGAAGTGACATGTTGGCTCTGTCACCAGCAAAGTGACCGAGTGTCCGTAATCAGCCGTCAAACACCATCAAATGTCACAGCTAAGGCCAGACTTCATTTTTCTGAGTATTAGAAACATTTTAAGCCTAAAATACTGTATTATGTATTTTCAGCATGTTTTCTTTCCAAACCAACATACCGCAACACAGCATTTATCTCATTAGCGAGGAGACATCACAGGAGCACCTGAGGACGGAGCTGACCGTCAGCTGAGCAACGTAATTGTCGGAACCGACGCTGCCCCGTGAGCTCCCTGCCAGGAAGGACGTTACACCTTCGATGAAAACGATCCGACTACAGCCCTGGCCGGTTTGGCTCGCGGTCGGAGCATTGGTCAGAGGACCAAAGAGTCTCGGGTTCGATTCCGGTCAAAGGCACGTACCTCGGTTGCGGTTCATCCCCGGCCATGGTGGGTTGTGCAGGAGGCAACCAGTCGGTGTGTCTCTCTCACGTTGATGTTTCTCTCTCTCTCTCTCCCCCTCCCGCTCTGTTTAAAGATTAATGGAAAATTATCCTCAGGTGAGGATTAAAAAAAGAAAAGACCTGATGACAAGCTTGGTAAACTCTCCTGTTGGAAAGATGTGTCACGGAGGGAAAAGCCAGCCTGGGTGGGCACCATCACGCATTCCCAGGTTGCTAACGGCTGAGCAGCAGAGTCAGCTCACGACGCAAACAGTGCTACAGTTCCGTGCCCTCGGTCATGGCTCACGCATCTCCTTCCTCTCTGTCCTGACAGGCTGGCGGGTGCACCTGCAGAGGGCCGGCCCCCGGGTCTGCGGCTCAGAAATCCTCCCGAGGGCAGAGACAAGCCCTGACACCCTCCCTGGGATCGGCCCCCGTGCTGGTCCTGCCCCGAGTCACAGACGGCTCCTGGGTTGTCTAGAAAGTCAGCAGCAGTGTGATGGCTTTTGTTTTGCTCAGGTCAAGCGTTGGGGAAGTTACCATCACGAACCAACATGTGATTCCGTTTAGCTCTGGGGGAAACGTGTCCACACCGGTTCCCACGAAGAAAATCTGAGAGTCTGTCTCTCCAGTTCACCTCGCGTCATCCAGAAGACGAAGCGTGTGCAACCGGTCGATCGTGGTCACCAATGACACGGGGTTTCGCATGTCGGCACACAATCGTATTTTGCGTCACATATATTTCGAGTGTCTTCTCTTGCTCCTCGTGGGTACTGAGGGTCTTCCTTAGGTTTGAAAGCAATCATATCTGTGCCGTGTTTGTTTAACACAATTAAAAGGCGTTCATGGGTCCGGCCGGTGTGGCTCAGTGGTTGAGCGTCGACCCTGCACCAAGAGGTCGCTGGTTTGATTCCCGGTCAGGGCACATGCCCAGGTTGTGGGCCCGATCCCCAGTGGGGGGCATGCAGGAGGCGGCCAGTCGATGTTCTCTCTCATCGATGTTTCTATCTCCCTCTCCCTTCCTCTCTCTCTAAAAATCAATAAAGAAAAAAAATTTTTTTAATTAAAAAAAAGGCGTCAATGGGATTGGCTGAGGACTGGTGAGTTTAGAGAGGATGGTGTCACCAGACGGGACCCGCGGGTCACGGAACAGCAAAGGCGTCTCCCCACGCCACCCTTCCTGTTCCCCGTGATGAGTCTGTGTCTGTTTAGTCCATGTCACAGGTCCACTGGGGGCCTCTGGACAGGGACAAAGTCACCAGCGTGGGAAGGTTTCCACCCGCCGGCCCCGGAGCCCGGTGTCCGCTTCCCGCTCTGGGTCTCTTTCGCCTCCGCGTCTGAGGGAGGAGCTGGGTTGGCCGCCGTGGGCGCAAGGACACAGGGGAGGAATGAGACCTGGGCATCGGGGCGGCGGGGGCGGCGCAGGCAGAGAAGAGGTTCCCAGGAGGAGAAAGGGGTTCAGGTGGCCATGGGCCGTCATTAAAGAAAAGCGTATTTGGAAGTGACTCTGCTCCCTGCACTGTGGATATAGGCGCAGCCTTCTGGCGAGAACGTGGAGAATCACACACGTGACTTGTGCTGGTTTGCTCAGGGGTTTAGCACACTGACCACCGTATCTCGGGACTACCCACTGAACAGAACAGTTGTCCTGAAAGGGCTGCCCGATGGGTAACGGTTCTGGTTACGTGTGCCCCTGCAGCGGGAAGCGCCTTCCCGGGCTGCCCCTCGCGCACTGTGGTGCTCACGGTCCTGTCGCTGAGACACCTTGTCCTGCTCAGGACAGCAGATCAGCTCTGGCAAAGGCAGGGCCGGGCAAGTCTGAAGAGCATGTCACCTCCTGCCGCTAGGGACCTTCCGGCGACTGAAGGAGCCTGGGGTGGAGAGGCCCCAGCTCCCCAAGAGACCCCGAGGCCCACACACCTGAGGGAGGTGTCCTGGGCCACCCAGCCAAGCCCGCCCAGATCAGAGCTGCCCACACAACCCGCCAAGTCCTGAGCACACACGTGATTGTTTCAAGCCACTACGTTTTGATGTGAAGTTTGTTATGCGGCAAAAGCTAACCGACACACGACCTTTGTCTTCCTTCGTGCTGTGTGGTTTCGCTCTTGTCAGAGAGACCGCGGGCGGCGGGGAGCCCAGGGAGAGCCCACCTGCAGCATCACCCCTTCCCTGGTGGTGGAAGGCCCCCGTCTCCGCCGCGAGAGGGGCAGACACGCTCCGCTCGCAGTGGCTGAAGCAAAACCAGACACGTACCTGATGGTCCTCCCGGGGTCGGCCTCGATGACCCAGGTACAGTGCAGGTTGTTGGCATAGGGAGCCGGGTAGCCGGGGGACAGCAGGCGCCCCGAGGTGGCCGCGCGGACCTGCCCCCCGCACTCCGCTGCAAGAGACACAGAGACGGGGGGGTCACTCCGGAGTCACGGGTTTTATTTAGCTACGAAGCAGTAGCCCGTCCTGTTACATACGTAGAATAAGCCCCGGTCCCCCTCTGTCTCTGCCTCTTTTCCTTACCTTCCAGGCATCGCCCAGAAGGGGGACCCTCTTTGCTGTAACTGAAGTTCAGAGTATAAATCAATGACACCCTTGTTATAAGTCTAACAATTCTCTGCGTGTGTTCTCAAGGAAACGGTACCAGCAACCTGGCTTTCTACCTAAAAGAACCTACATAAACGTTAGGGACACAAACAGCGTGGGGGGGCGGTGCAGTCACGGAAGCGGGGCCCAACTCACCCACGCAGGTCGGCAAGGGCTTGTCCCACACCCTCCGGTCGCCGCTCAGACAGGTGAGGGTGCTGCTGCCATGCATGGTGTAGCCCGGGTTGCAGCTGTACAGGACGGCGCTGTCCGCGAACTGGCCATCGTCCCGGACCCGGTAGCCATAGCTGGGCACCCCGGGGTCCTCACACTTCACCAGGTCAAAGCCTAGGAGGGAGGAGGGAACAGTGAGCATGGGCCACGCAGGACAATTCCCGTGGCAGACGAGCGGTCAAGTGACCCTTGAAAGGTGGACAGGAAGGACACGTGATTTTTTTTTATTAAACAAGGAGACAACTGTGGGTCTGGAGCGGGTTCATCTGTCAGCCGCTGGGTGCTCCTGGTGGTCTGGCCACTTGACCGGTCCCTTGTGCTTATGGACTGAAAGAACTGTCCCCCACAGAGTTCCGCTGAGCCCTCTCTGGCCGGCAGGCTGGGCCCCCAGGAGCCCGGGGCCTCTCCTGCCTCCTGCCTGTGCTCTGTGCCGTCGGGACCTTGCAGAGCAGGGACCCCGTCGGGTCAGTGCACACGGGGTGCTTCACCCAGCCGGCACCATACCACCCGCCCCATGCCGCCTTCATCCGGCTCTCCAAGGTCGCGGCGTCTCGGGAGACCGGACCGGTGTCCCCGCTCACAGAAGACGGGCTGGACAGTCACCAGCGGCCCCAGCCCAGGGCACGGGGACCGCGGCTCGTGAACAACTTCACGCAGAGCGGAGACTCCGGGAAGGAGTCAGGGTGCGGACTCTGTGCACCTCAGCTCTTAAATGCAAAGACACATGGCGGAGAGGAGGGTCTCACTTCCGCTGGGCGGGGAGAGGCGTGTTGCTTCTACATGAGGACATATTTAAGGTCATGGGTGAAGACAGTCCCCCAGGAACACAGTTCTCTCCTCGAATTCTGACGCAGATTTTGGCCATTTTCAAAGCAGAGCTGGGCCCTGAGGTACCACGTGGGCTGTTTACCTCGGTTCCCACCTTACTTGACCTCCCTTTGCTCAAACGAAACGCAATCGTAAAAGAACCAACAGGGGACTTGTTCTGAGTCTGGCCCTATAATGTGCGTTTTGAGGGGCCCTCGGTGAAGGGGACCCCACGATGCCACCCAGTGACCTCGCCCCATCAATGTTGCATTTTGTGACTTTGCAGAGGACAGAGTTCCCACGGGATCATCCCTACTCAGTAGCTAAGAGAAGTCCCCATCTTTAAGGGTTTTTTGCTTTGTCATTTTTCTGGAAAGTGTCCGTCTTCACCAAGTGTGGCTTTACAGTACCTCAGGGCAGCCAGCAGAGAGCACAGAGAACATCGGCCCTTTGAGACACGAAGGGACCCCTTAAACTGCCACGGGGGGGTGGGGGTCCAGGGGGCGGCCCCGATCACACAGGGTCTGGGCTCAGGGGACAGTGGCCTCCTCTTCCCTGGCGGCTTTGGGTAACTTCAGACATGAGCTCGTGGCATCCGTGTGACCAGCAACCGGCATGTACGTCTCTGGAACGCTGGCGTGTCACCTGGCTCCGCCTTCTCCCTCCAGGGCGGGAACGGAAGCGGTCTCGTCCGTGTTACCACCTGACTCGTTTGCCTTTGGAAGCGGCAGGACGTGAGCTTCAGGTGCGACGCCGCCCAGGGTGACGGCACAGAGACCACCGCTGCCCGGCCCTCGGCCACTCGCCAGGAGGCCGCCGTCTCCACTGGCCACACTCAGAGGGAGTCGCCACGGGTGATCAGGGCAGGGTTCCCCTCTTTCACGTCATATTAAGAATCTGAGTGTCCAGAGCCAGTGGGACACCCAGTTGGAAATATACAGCCCTGGCCGGGTCCCCAGCTGGTTGGAGCACCGGCCAGATGCACCAGGTCGCGGGGTTGATCCCCGGTCGGGGCACACACAGGAAGCAACCATGATGCATCAGTAAGCAGAACAGCAGACCCCCCTTCCTTAAAACCAATCAATAAACATTGTAGAAAAACTGGAAATATAAATTAGACAGTCAAGGTAAAACATCTATAAACGAGAGGCAAGCATCTGCCCCGACGGCCTGTTCCCTTGTAAGCAGGTCCCGGGTAAACCCAGAACCCCCGGGAGCCGTGAGGGGCCCTGCGGAGGGGCCCCCGTGCCTCCTGGCTGTGTGCCAGGCCTGTGCGTCCGGAGGCCAGGCGGCGGTGGCCCTGGTCAGCGAGCGCCTGACCTCGGAGCACCAGGAATGTGCGGGCTGTCCGTGCATCGGATGGATAATTAGCTCATCGGATGGATAATTAGCCTCCAGAGGAGGGTGCAGAGTCGGGGACTGGAAGACCAGATGGGGTGCACATCCATGCACACAGCCAAGGCATCGGCCGGTGTGGGCGACGGCCTTACGGAGACAGGGCGGGGGACAGCATGGCCGTCTGCTGCTGTGGAGGCCGGGCCCGCAGGGGCCCAGAGGCCTGGACAAAGAGGTCGCGGGCTGGCTAGTCGGAGACCCCACTCTGACCTCGAGCCCTCGCTGCTGTTACTGAAGCTGTTACAGGGTTTCCTGGAGGCAGACTTCTGCCTGTGCTGGTAAGTGCGACGCGGACCCCGAGACGTCAGGCCACCTCGCCAGCGGCGGCGCTCAGCTGGGAGCCTCACAGGTCCTTAGCTCCCTGGGGCGCGGAGCACGGTCCTAGCGCTTCGGGCCAGGGCGCCACCGGAGTCCCGAGACCGGAATACGCTTCCGCCGGAGGTGCTTGGAGAACCACCCCTCTGCCCCCAAACTCACATCAAGAAACAAACAAGGTGTGTCTACCCAACTGTATTTGGGTTGAATTCTTCAGAGAAATAAATATCTGTTTCATTGCTTTTTCTGTTACTTAATCTTGCGAGTTTTCTTTTTTTTTTAACCACATCTCGTGCAGACAAGTCCAGGTGAGTGGCTGACGGCAGCAGCCCCTCCAGGCAGGCTGACCTCCTCCATTGTCCCCCCGAAGGTCGCTTGCCACCAAGTTGACTACTTTGTAAGAAGCCCTGTACCCCACTCCTCCGTGCTGAAACCTCCAGGCAACCCGTGTTCTGAGACACGTTTCCTTTCCTGTCAGAGGGGAGGTGCGGGGTTTGTCTGGAAGTCCGCCTCCCGTTCCCGGTGCCCGGAAGAAGGCTTTGCTCACTCACAGCCTCACACGACCCGATGATCCAGGCGCCGCGGGGGCGGGCCGGGGGCACGTGTTCCTGGAGAAAGCTGCAGGAACGCTGACCCCTTCTCCACAGGCCAGAGGAGGGTCCTGCACCAGCATTTCTCCACCCCCTGCACGCTCTCCACTCCTTCTCCACGAACCCTGGGATTGGCCAGCGAGCCGGGTATGGGCTGAGGAGAGATACATTGTGTCCTTGGAGCTCGTCTAGAATTCCGCCCTGACGACACGGAGTTCTGGGACGCGGTCCCGCATCCATGTCAGGAGGGGTTCTCCTGGGCTCAAAGTACCTCAAAGTACACTACCCAGGCAGATAGTCCTCTAAGGAAGTATTTCCCTTTTACCTTGAATGTCGGACGTCAGACGTGCAGTCTCAAGGCTGCACCCACGCCGCCCACGGCACCGGGCCTGGAGAAGGGCGGACTCAACCTGCCGGGTGCGAACCTGACCGAGGCTGCGGTTGCTGCGTGGCTCTGCTGAGCGATTCCAGTTCTTTCTGTCTCCGGTGACGTCACAGTCGCACACGCAGGGACGATGCTGTGGACGGACAGCACTCGGCCGTCGAACCGAGCGCGACCACGAGGCTGCTGGAATGACTTCTCCGTTTCTTTGGCAGTACTCGGCTTGAACATCGTTAAGAATTAAATCCTGTCTCTCTCCAAAGTCTAACGACATGTTAGTGTCATAAGAGACTTCCGGCGGACTCTCAAGGGTCTGGGCTCCTTGTCCACCAGAGAGAGCAGGTGTGTGGGAAAGGACCCGCTCCGGATGCAGCCCTGCTGGACCGCGGCCGCCCGACCACGGAGACCCCGTGCTCCGGCCCCTGCGCCAGCCCCTCGAGGGAAGGAGCGAGCATGCGCCCGGCCGCGTTGAGGACGAAATGCAGGGAAAGTGCTGGTCGTTTACGAGTCTCTGTCATCTCCTATCAGCAACGGACAAACACTGAACGTTTACAGAAACCTGTTCTCTCAGGAGGTGACCTAAGACTCACTCCTCTCTGGAGAAAGTACCTTGTTGGCAAACATCTTATCAGAGTGTAGGGAAGGTTGCCGTGTGCAAAACATAAGATAGAACATAACAGTGCTCTCAGCAAAAGAGAGAAAAGAAAGGAGCGCTTTATCAAACACTTAAATATTTTATTACCTGCCTTTATTTGTCGTCGTCTGTAAGAAATGCTGACAGAGAGCAGAGCAGGGCGCATGCCCAGGCTGTGGGCGCCATCCCCAGGGCGGGGCGTGCAGGGGGCGGCCAGTCTATGTTCTCTCATCAGTGTTTCTGTCTCTCTCCCTTCCTCTCTCTCTAACATCAATAAAGAAAAAAAATGTATTAAAAAAAAAACCCCAAAACGTTTGATTTATTTGTGTCTTTAAACACAACTCTCCTTATCCCAGAATGAAACAGTGGGCAAAGGGTATTTATACAAGTTTCATTTTTAAATTGTCGTTTATTAAATTTTACACACACACACACACACACACACACAGCTTTTTCAGCTACCACTGTTATTGGTCTCAAACTGATTTTCCTCAGCTATTTGTCATCGGACCCATTTCCTTTCCTGACACACTGTTTCTCCCTGCTGCTGCCCCTCGGTGACCCTGCGAGCCACCCCGACGACAGGGCGCCGGCTCCCCACGGGGGACGGTCAGCAGGACATGACAACGTGCAGAAGGACAGCGGTCAGAGTTCCCGAGAAAACATCAGAGATCTGTGAAAGAATGAAGGTCAGACGGCCAAAGGAACGGGCTACTTTTCTGGATCATCTTGGTTTTCACCAGCGGCGTCACGGAGAAGGCGCAAAGCCAGGCAATCAGAGCTACAAATCCCAGGAATCAGCCCCGACTGTTTTCTGAGCCCAGACGCGGTCTCGGGCTCCGGAGAAGCTCGGCGCTGGGGGCACGGGGACCTTCACGGAGCTGCCGTGCTCACGTCGCCGGTGTCCGCGCTAACGTCTTCGTGCGAGGGTTCAATCGCCACCTCCTCGCTGACACGAAGGTTACACACAGACGTGTTCTGGTTGAGAGTG